TGACTTGTTGATTAAAGAAAAATCATTGAACCTGGGCCCTAAGCTCCTTGTCTTTCAAATGAAGGGATAGGCTAGTTGATGAGAACATTTGCATAGTACTTTGAGTCCTTTAAACTATGCATTTGCGCAAAGAGATTACCAAGTGCCTGGCATACGGTACTAAAAAATGTTAGTTATTTTATTATTAATCACACAACCTCATAAATATAGATTTCATTTTGCCAATGAAGAAGCTGAGAATTACAGAAATTAAGCACAATTTTCAAGGTCTTTCCGTGAAGGAACAAGGAGTAGGCTGAGAATCCTGGACTTTTGACTATACTATTCCTTTGTAGTACATTAAGATCCTTTTAGCTATAAGATTATTATTTTACAGGAATTTGAATTGAGCTAGAAAGATGGGTAGAGAGTACAGGCAGAGAGAAGAGGGAAATATTTTATGCAGAAGTAAGCCATGTGCGTGAAGGAAGGGTTTTGAGAAGGGAAGGAATGAGTTTTATCTGCAGTCTTTGCCAGGAGGCAGCTCTCCTGATGGGGAGTAGGACGGGGAGGTGGGGAGAAAGTGTGGAAGTCCTTGAACACCAGGCTACGGAGTCTGAGAACCTTAGCAAAGTTCTTGATCAGAGTCGTGGCATAATGTTACTAGCATTTTATTATCAATCTGGTTGTAGATTACTGAGTAGATTGGGGAGGTTGGGCTGGAGCTGCAGAGACCAGTGAGATGGCTGTTGTACAAGATGAGGGCATCCAGTATGTCGAGGTAATTAGATCTGGGAGGAAGGTGTTCTTAGTCAACATTCTGGGTACATGCAAACTTGTTATTTTCAACAAGTGTTTATGAGTACTTTTTTTTATTTTAATTTTTTTATTTAGGTATAATTGGCATCTTTATATCAGTTTCAGATATGTACAACATAATGATTTGGTATTTGTATATATTGTAAATGACCACCACAATAAGCCTAGTTAACATCTGTCACCATACAGTGACAGAATTTTTTCCTTGTGATGAGAACTAAGATTTTCTCTATTAACAACTTTCAAATATGCAGTACAGTATTAACTACAGTCACCATGCTGTATAGTACATCCCCATAACTTATTTATTTTATAACTGGAAGTTTGTACCTTTTGACTCCCTTCACCCATTTCACCCCCTCCCCACACCTCTGGCAATCAGCAATCTGCTCTCTGTATCTATGGGCTTGATTTTGTTTTGTTTCAGATTCCACATATAACTGATATCATATGGTATTTATCTTTCTCTGACTTATTTCACTTAGCATAACGTCCTCAAGGTCCATCCATGTTGTCACAAATGGCAAGATTCCTTTCTTTTTTATGGCTGAATAACATTCCATTGCATACACACACACACACACACACACACACACCCCAAATTTTCTTTATCCATTCATCCATCAATGGACACTTAGGTTGTTTCCATATCTTGGCTATTACAAAATAATGCTACAATGAAGTGGGGGTGCAAATACCTTTTCAAGTTAGTGTTTTTGTTTTCTTTGGATAAATACCCAAAAGTGGAATTGCTGAATAATTTTATTTTTTATTATTTTCAATATTTTTATGCTATTAATTTTGAGGAACCTTCATTTTCCATAACAGCTGCAGCAATTTACATTTCCATCAACAATGTACAAGGGCCAGTGTACAAGGGCTCATTTCCTCCACATGCTGGGCAGTGCTTGTTGGTTCTTATCTTTTTGACAATAGCCATTCTAACAGGTATGAGGTGAACTTTTTTTTTTTTAAGTAGCTACTCTAGAGGTCTGGGAGGCCAAAGGAGCGCATTTGAAATTCAAGCAGTGTTAGATTCCTGGCTTTGTCATTTTCTAATTATGTAATATAGAGGAAGTCACCTAACCTTTCTTGAGCCTCGGTTTCGTTTTCTCAAAATTAACGGCGACAGTCTGTACCTGGTAGAGCATGTGTGTGCATAAAACCAGACAGCGTCTTAAAACACCTAGCAATGACGCTCCCTGGTGACTCCCACCTTCCCCCAGGTACCCTTCGGGGCCAGAGCCGAGCAGCCAAGGACAGGCGAGGCCGGGAGAGCGGGTCTACCTGGGGAGCGCGGCCGCCCACTCGTCACGAGCTGGGCTGACCTCCGAACGCCCGGCCCACCTTGGACCAGGCTTCGTGCGGGATGACGGAGCATCCCCCGCCGGCGGCAGGACAGACGCTTCCCCGCAACAGGGGCTCCGGAGCGCGTGGCAGCCCCCGGGCCAGCCGGGAGGAGCGAGGCGGCGCCGGCGCCCGCGGCTGCAGCGGCCACCCCCGCCCTCCCGCCCGCGAACTTGCCGCGGGCGCTGGGCCGCGCTGGCCGCGTTTGAAGTCTCCGGCGCGGCCGCCGGTTGGCGGGCGCGGGTCACGTGCGCGCAGGCAGGAGTTTCCCCGACAGCTGGAGGCTGCGTGGGCTACGGCAGCGGCTCCCGAGCTCGGCGGTGCGGCCTTCCCCGCCCCCTCCCGCCTCCCCGCCCGCTTCCGCCCGGCTTTTCATCCTCCTTATTGACAAACAGAGCGGCCGCGGCGGCGACTCTGGGCGTGCGCTGGTAGCCAAGCCATGGGAGACAAGAAGAGCCCCACCAGGTAACGGCGCCCGGGTCCCCGGGCCCGCAGCGTGCAGGCGGCGGGGCCCCCGACCCCGGCTTCGGG